ATTGACCATCTTGCTGGGTTAAGTCTTACTCATGTGCTGGGTTATTTCCTGTATCATTGCCTTATTAAAATTAGTAACAAATATTTTTTATATTACTAATGTAAAATAATGATTATCTCTGTAATAATAAACCAGAGAGGCCACTGTATATGTGATTTCAATCATTTATTTTATTTTTTTACATTTTTAATACATCTCTTTAATATTTTTTTGTAAACAATTATTACAATTATACAATGTATACTCATTCTAAGGTAAAAAAAACATAACGGTTCATTAAGTAAGGTCTTTATACACCACTGAAAACATAGTTATGTATATGATATTGCATTTCTGTTAACAGATCCTTCTAAATACAGTATTACACAATGCACCTTTAAAAGTCAATAAGCAACTAATTTGAACTCTTATACGATTATGATTTTATTTATTAAGATGTGTTGATTTATTAAGAATAGCTACAAACATTTACAATGCGACTAAATATCACAGGGTTTTCCTCAAATTTGACAGAGGACGATTCTTTTCCATTAATTTGATACACTGCTTCGTGTATTTAAAATGAAAAACTAAATAAAACTTTGAAACAAAGATCACCAGCCTCCAGCAAAGACTCGGTCTCGATGACGTGGCCTGGAACAATGGCAACGGTCTGACGTGTCCCCCTCGTCGCATCCCTGATGCTCCAGTCATTTTGTAAATATTCATCCATGTTGGTCCCCAACTGTTGATTACACACAATCACTTAGAGTGTTGCAATATAACTGACATGCAAGTTTTTTGTGGAAGTATTTATATTTTTTTATTGCAAACATTACCAAATATGGCCAAATGTGAAAAACAAACAAAATGTATATTTACACATCTAAATAGACATTTATCAGTCTAAAATAGGCTGGGATTCAGGATAAGACAAAAACACGATTTGGAAAATGGATTCATGATGTACTTGCTCATTATAAACATTTTGTAAATTTTGAACACAAAAAAAGTTATGGACTGCAGCTTTAAAAATTAACAAAAATCTATTTAAAAAAAATGCAATTTTATGTTGCAAACAGAGATTGCACCTTTAAATATTCTAAACCTAAATTAATTTCATAGTTATCAAGCATATCAAACGTCTACCCTTATTGAAGTAGAAACACTAAAGCAACTTACAGGTTGGATGTCAAGTACCTCTGAGCCTCTGTGTTGGGTCTGAAGCCCTTTCCTCCTCTCCTGTAACGTTAGATGGATGGGGGAAGCAGAGTTTGCAGGACCTTCAAAGCCAGCAGCTAAACAATATGAGCATAATACATAAAGTTACATTAACATTTAAATAGTATACTGTATATAACAATTCATATTTCTAAAGTAGCATTTCTGACTTTTCTGCCCTGGTGTTTAAAGGGTAACTAAACACCAAAACAACTTTTTTTAGTTAATGATCTGTAAGAATGGAGCTTCATAAATGCTGTTCTTTGATTCGAGTACATTTTTTGACATTTGGGTATAAAGTGTTTTAATTTTCAAATATATGGTGTAAAAACGTATGAGTGCTGCCCTCTTCAGGTTAAACGGAAAGCTCCTGCAGTAGGGGTACTCTCTGACGTAGGGAACTCTCTGACGTCACTCTGTCACGCCCTTGGTGCGAGCTCACCACGCCCTTGGCAGCCCCTGGTATAAAAGCATCTGGTTCCGTCAAAACTACTGTAGCGAGTCAGGAGTTGGATTTATGAGTATTGAAAACGATCAGGATAGCATATATTAGCATCTAGTTAGCATAGCATTTATATAGTTATTTAGATTATTTCGTATAGCCTAGGTAGTTAATTAGCATAGTTGTTAGTATATTGTTATATTATTAAAAAAATATTCAATTCAGTGGGGGAAGGAAACCTCTGTATGGTCCTTCTTCAGGAAACTCTTCCCTGATCCGTGTCACAACGCAAGAAGGTATGACCACCCGAATGTGTTGGCCAAGGTAGCCCCAACACCACCTAACGACATTGCGATATGCAAGGTGTCTATAAGCGCTGAAAGACAGGTAGTGCACATGTATGTTGAAGTGGAGGATACACTGGTTTTTAATCAATTATTCCATTTTTTTATATACATTTATTTTTTATATATAAAATTTAACCTTTCTTCCTGGAACTGCCTCTTCCATCTCACCATATAACTGTACGTAAGTGCCATATACAGCTTGTAACACATATGGGTTTAGTGCTACAGGCTCAAAGCCTGGATGTGCCGTTACACAGCCCACTCCACCAATCTGGTCACACCTGTGTACTACCTACAACATGAGAATTGTTTATTACTACTTTGTTAGGATGATTTATTTAATATTTGGTATGTGGAGGTTGTGTTTTTTTCAGGGTTCGTACAAGGTGCTTAAAATGCTTGAACTTGAATTTGACTTGAAATTTATGAAATGGAACTTAAAATATTGAAAGACAATATGTGAAATTAGTGTTTCATTTTATTGATAAAGCAAACTTTTCACACAAAATTATATCTTTATCAGATAGGCTGAAGCTTTAGAACCATTTTGCATGGCTATGAGTGTGATATTGTTCATAAATATCAAAGTATATGATACAGCTTACATTCTTCAGGTCAACCATATTCATGAGGTGGAAATCTGTTTGAATGCGATATCTTTGTCATAGTAACCTTTACATTGTTCAAGTTTCCAGTCATTGCATCTGCAACACTTTATTTTGTACCTTAATTTTATTTTGTTTAATTGGTTTATTTCTGTTTACCTATTTATGTGTATGAATCCTGGTTTTGAGTATAGTACTTATTAACTGAATTTAACACTCTGGTCTTGTCATATTTCATAGCTATACCTTGGGTATCTCCCTGCAACAGACAATCTCTACCAGGGACAGTGAGCTGCAGTGCCCACAGGTACACCTGTTGAGACAGAATCATTTGTAATTGTAGAGGGAGACTTGTCTTGAAATAAATGGTTTTCGCTTAATTATTAACACAACATCATACCATAATTAACCTTTTTAATTTTTTTTATAGTTCCGTTAGCATTTGCTATAAGCATTAGCCTAATATAGCCATAATGCTAATGTTTTACCAATCAGACACTGGCCCCATTCTCCCTTGCGCGGCTGCTTCGCTAGCATCGTCGGATGCCGATCGCGATGCGGGAGTTAAAACCGCAGTTTGAGCCAGCGGCTCGAATTGATATGGCTCCGGCCCTGTGTCCACAGACAATTCACCCTCCTCTACTTCAGGTGAAGGTGGGGGAGAAAAGTCCTCGACTTCAAAAGACCGCTCCGTGGCAAAGCTACTTGCGTCACTCCAGTCACTCTCCATTTTAGAGTCTGACAGCAGCTGTCAATTAATCCGTCACTGCGGGTCTCAGGTGCACGCCCCCCCGCTCAGCCCCGCCCTCGGTTCGTCCCCTCTATCTCCGCTGGGGTCTGCCCACTTTTCCAGCATTTTTCAAATATTGCTAGTGGGTGGCCAAACTCTGAGCAGGGGTTTAGTTACCCTTTAAAATGGCGCTGTTGTGACAATAGCAAAAACTATTTGGCCTCAAACATCGCGCACACTTGATCCATAACCACTGTCTTAGCTACTAAATTATTCTTAGTAGGCCTACCTCAGGTCCTAACAACTTGTAATGGTTTCAGGGCGAGAACATAATATGAAATCGATTTATTTCTCATTGCCTCAGTCGCCGTTTGTAAAGATTGCACGTCAGACGTCATACAATTATTATTTTTATTTTTTTTTGGTAAAAACTATCCTGGTTCCGACATAGACATTACAAAAGAAACACGCAGACTGTGCTGGAACTTACCCCCGTCGCTTCCTCTGACGAGAATTTCTTAAATGTGCGAGCAGACTTTCCACACAGACTAGTGCTAGACTTTTTTCCCGCAGTTTTTACGTACGAGCCTATAGGGACCATACTGCGCGTGCACGGTTCATTCAAAACGCTTTCCTCACTTTTAATCACTAAACGTCCACAATAAATACGATATTTAGGAGCTGAAATTACTATTTAAACTGCATATTTCATTAAGGCTGCTGATATAGCTGGTTTACAACGTGGCATTTTGTCAAAAAAATCTAACCGGCTAAGCTGTTAGTAATGTTTTACAGAATAAATACGTTATACCCCTCACACTTCCATATCAAAGACTGTATGCTGAACAGTGAAATTATTATTGTTAAAAATATTGGTAAACATATTAACTTACCATAAAACACTGCCTGCTCCGAGTGAAGTCCTCCTCGAGTCAGAAGTGAAGAATCCAGAAAGTTCCGCACAGAATAAACCGGTTGCTGGGTCAAAATAACCCAACCAGCTGTTTATTTGTGAATTACCCCCTTACAACTCATTTGACCCAGCATGAGCAACCCAATAATGTGTTTACTGTTTACAGTGCCCCTAACCCAGCATTTTGACCCAGCACAATCAACCCAACAATTTGTTTACAGAAACAACCCAGCATTTTTTTGAGTGGCATTCTAATGGACAGACACATTTAAACATCCTGATCTAAAACTTGCAATTCTACAATCGATTTTTAACTTTAATTAATAAGTTAAATCTTTCTATTTATATACATAAACTATGAAATACTGGCAAAAATATCAAACAAATGTAAATAAAACCATAGAAAATGTTGCTTGCTTCTGTGTTTGGAGTGAAGTGCTGCCATGCTTCTCTTCAATGTAGTGTTTTTTTTCTCTCTTCATAATTACTACATGCAGAGCTTTACTGCCATTTGATTGGATGACAAACGTCCAATCTCATGGACTGCAGGCTTTAAACCTCTTTAAACTAGGTGAAATGCTCCAGAAGAAAAAAAAGAAAAGAAAAAAAGGGGGGCTGAGCGGCTCACATGTGATGTCCATTGTAATGGACGCAGGGTCTGACTCTGAACATTTCTTCCGTTCATCAGCAGGATTTTTTTTTTATATCTCATTGGCTTTCATTCATGCTTGTACATCGATCATCTCGACGACCCTCAGTGTTCTCTGCTTCTGAGAATCAGTCTGTGTTTTTGTGCAGTCATTCTCGCGCAGCCATTTTTCAGCTGGTGAAACTTTGAAAGTATTTGATTGCAAACGCGGGAGCGGTTTCAAAGGTAAGATAATGCAAATTAGGCTACTTTATTTAGTTTACCTATTTGTCCTTTCCGGTGTCCTGCCAGTTTTTCGCTTCCATCTTCAGGATGCCGTTTTATTTGAAAGTAATATACATTCATACAATAATTATTATAAAGTTTTAATTTCCCTAAAGTTAAAGCTATTCATAAAGCGTAAAATAGAATAGTGTATTTTGCTTTATGCGTCAAACCCCTATTTTTTTTTAAATATATCAGTCATTTTCTCCCTTTTTGCAGTGTATGCCATGTATCTTGAGGAGATTTCCCGAACGACCAACGTTACATCTGGATTGACTCTGTTCCTCTGTGCCTTCGCTCTGCTCTTGCTGGCTCTCTATGGTCAACGAAGAGGACCAGGCTGCTCCTTTCCTCCAGGTCCCAAACCTTGGCCGTTAGTGGGCAACCTTTTCCAGATGGGGGAACAAATCCATTTGTCATTAACAAACCTGAGGGTTCAGTATGGAGATGTGTTCCAGGTGCAAATGGGTTCTCTTGTGGTAGTTGTTTTGAGCGGCTATTCTACAATCAAGGAGGCTCTGGTACGGCAAGGAGAGGCATTTGCTGGACGCCCTGACCTTTTTACATTCTCTGCAGTTGCTAATGGCACCAGTATGACATTTAGTGAGAAGTATGGTGAAGCTTGGGTGCTTCACAAAAAGATCTGCAGAAATGCCTTGAGGACATTCTCCCAAGCTGAGCCCAGAGACTCAAGTGCCTCGTGTCTTTTGGAGGAACATATCTGCACAGAGGCCATGGAGATGGTGAAGGCTCTGAAGGAACAAGGAGATAAGGTTGGAGATTCAGGGCTCGACCCGGTTAAGTTGCTAGTGACCTCAGTTGCCAATGTGGTTTGCACTCTGTGTTTTGGCAAGCGGTATGCCCATAACGATAAAGAGTTCCTTACCATCGTCCAAATCAATAATGAAGTGCTGCGCCTCTTTGCTGCAGGGAATCTGGCAGACTTTTTTCCTATCTTCCGTTACCTGCCCAGTCCGTCTCTGCGAAAGATGGTCCAGCACATTGGCAGAATGAACAGCTTCATGGAGCGCAACATCAGGGAACATCTCATCACCTTTGATAGGGTAATACTGCTGAAATAAAAAGATGAGAAGACAATCATAATGCAGGAACATGATTTTTTTATCCCAGAGATGAGTGGCAGATTGTTAGTGTCAGAAGCCTCAGATTACATCTCTTCTCATGAGATCAGAGTGAATGGACAGAGGTTATATACTCCATACATTTATAAATGCTTCATTAGAAAGAAAATCTGTCAGCATGCTTGCATATGCAGATATCAAGTTTGGGGTCGGCATAATTTTTTTTTGTGTTTTTGGAAGAAATCTCTTATGCTCACCAAGGCTGTTTATTTAATCAAAATACAATACAGTAAATTCAATAAAACAGTAACATTGTGAAAAATAAAATTACATTTTTAAAAAAACTTTTTTAATATATATTAAAATGTATTTTATTCCTATGATGGCAAAGCTGAATTTTCAGCAGCATTACTCTAGTCTTCAGTGTCACATGATCCTTCAGAAATCATTCTGATATGCTGATTTGGTGTAAAGTAACATTTCAAATTCTAAGCAATTTTGAAAATAACTGTCTTTACTGTCACTTTTTAATTCATCATTGCTGAATAAAAGAATAAGACTATTCATTTCTTTTAAAAAACAAAATCTTACTGGCCTCAAACTTTGAACAGTATGTTATATTGGTATTTTTTATACATTGTGGTCTCTAACTCAGTAACTATTATCTGACCTATACTCCAAAATATAATGAGATTTCTCTTTCAGAGCGCCTGTGAAGTGATGCTTTGTTTCTGTTGTTTCTATACAAACTAAAATATTCACATGCACAGTTGAATTTGGTGTAAACAATGTATGCATGTGTGGAGATGGAGAAGGCACCCGCATACATGGCCAGGAACAAGATGGATGTAAATGTCATAGAGAGAGTCAATTCACATTTGAAACATTTTGCAAATCTGATTCTCTGTGTTTTTGTACAGAACTGTATTCGGGACATCACTGATGCCCTTATAGCAATGAGTGAGGACAGGCTGGAGGGCGAGGAAACGGCCATGCTCAGCAACTCACAGATCGTCCACAGTGTTATTGACATCTTCGGAGCCGGTGAGAGACCAGGAGTCAAGAGAATAAATGTGCGAATGTGAACAGCATTGTGCTTTTAGAAATACATACAACAGCACAATTTACATCCAGAACCAGATGTTTTTCCTGGCTCTTTGTTGTCAAAGGGGGGCGACGTCAGACTGATCTAGAATTAGACCTGGAGTTTTTCTGAGAATTTGCTTTAGATGTATGTTTTTCATCTGCTCTTGGCTTGTGCTGTTCATTCCTGTTTCAGTTTATGCATCTTTGTAGTTCTAGTTCATTAAACCGTATTTAACAAACCCCCATGAGGAGCTCAAAGCACTCATTTTCATTCTTTTAGCCTGAGAACAGCCCACAACACATCTTCAGTCGATTTGTTTGCCCATATGCTAATTGTGACTTGTGTCTTGAGGCTGTTAACCGATTATGATCATAAACAATGCCTTTTTTTTTCCTTTTAGGTTTTGACACTATCATCTCCGGTTTGCAGTGGAGCCTTTTATACCTTATCAAGTTTCCAGACATCCAGGCTAAAATCCTCCAGGAGATAGGTGAAGACTAGAAAGGGCCAATCAAAACAACACTGTGTTTACTGGAAAAAAACAACAACAAAAAAACAATTTCCCTTCATGCACATCCCTTTCTTCAGCTGTGCTGCGGCATCCTGGGGAAACTGAATCTGCATTAGCTGGGATTTGTGGTTCGTTTTGAGACAGACACAGGAAACCAAAGATTATAGACAATTCGATACACAATTTTTAAAGTGGAGCTTAAAAGATGTTGAAGGAGAACCAAAATTGTCTTCCTGTGGCCTCGCTTTATTTTGGTCTTTTGGAATTTGCTATAAACAGGAAATTATTTTGTTTTGATTTTATCCACAGGGTTATTTAGAAGTGACTGCAAACAGAGACATCTGAAAATAATTATTCTTTTAAAGAAATCTTCCAGTGCTAAAACAATTTGTGAGGTCCAAAATTATATTGTCAATATAAGTATTTCTTCATCTTCTGGTCTGTGTGTTTATTATGCTATATGTGCTTTCCTAGATAACCAGGTTGGTATGAACAGGCTTCCACGGTTTAAAGACAAGCCAAACATGCCGTACACAGAAGCTTTCATATTTGAAGTGTTTCGTCATGCATCCTACGTGCCTTTCACCATACCTCACTGGTGAGTCCATTTTTCCTCTCTGTTTCCCTATAGTATCATAGTGTTATAGTATCATACTATTATCATAGGACTGCATTCATAAACAGGTACTCACATTTTCCTCCATCATGTTATCTAGCACAACTGAAAACATAACACTGAATGGATACTTCATCCCCAAAGACACGTGTGTGTTCATCAACCAATATCAAGTCAATCACGATGTGTAAGTATCACATTCCTGCCACATTCTTATTATATTTGTTTCCTAAGTCTCTCCATATTATATAAATATTATTTATTATATTAATATGATATTATAATATGAAATATAATGTAAATCAATTATTATAAATCATTTCATTACATCATTTTATATATAAAAGTAAAGTTATTTTTATAATATTTTTAAATATATTTTTACATGATATATATATATATAAAACGTTAATAAATAAAATAACTCAATTGAACTGTATTAAACTCATTCTTTGGCAAAAAGGGACATTTGGGGCGATCCTGAGGCTTTCCGACCAGAACGATTCCTCACCCTGTCTGGCCATCTAAATAAAAATGTGACTGAGAAGGTAATTATATTTGGCATGGGAATACGGCGTTGCCTCGGTGACAGCTTTGCCCGTCTGGAGATGTTTGTGTTCTTAACCACCCTGTTGCATCGTCTGCACATAGAGAATATTCCAGGGGAAGAGCTTGACCTGAGCTCTACATTTGGACTCACCATGAAGCCCAGACCCTTCCTAATAAAAATCTCACCTCGTAACTAAACTATTATGCTCTCAGTGTTCTAGATGTTATGTTTAATGCACCCCAAATCAACCTACAATGCACCTCAGAATCATTGAAGTCACACCACAAAGCTAATGTTGGCCATCACTGGACTGCTAAGCTAATTCGTCACTTATAATCATCATGTGGTCTTTTCTCTACCTCTGTTTTAAGTGGCCTTAAACTTCGTTATGTTAGTGTTTTATTTATATAGTATTCAGCTCAACTCAACTGTTACTTGTATGTTTACTTTTGTATTCTGAGCTTATCAATATATGTATCATAATTATGCATGAAAGTTTAAGCTTGTAAGTGTTCTGGTTACTGCTTTTCGCACAGATATTTGAAACATCAAAGAAAGCCACAATCTGTTGTTAACCTGTTTTGTGTTATATAAACTGAATCAGTGAGAGAGGATCAGAATTAATAGGCCTATTACTGATGTTGCATTAACGAACAAATATTGTTAATAATGAATAAAATGTAATCCAGTTTAATATAATATATTGACTATACAAAATTATATGATATTTATAATACTTTAATGTTGTCAAGTCTCTATCATATCACTAAACTGTTGTTATCCGTCTTATTGAACATCACAGAATTTAATAGAATAAAGGACAGTTAAAACCCCTAAAATGCATTTGCTGCTTTTTTTCATTTTCAAAGTTTGTGAAGAGAGATGAGTGATTGAGATCTCTTTGTGTCTCTGACTATAGCATGAGCTGGTATTCATGTACACTACCGTTCAAAAGTTTGGGGACAGTAAGATTCTTTATTTATTTTAAAGAAACTTATACTTTTATACAATTGTTTAAGACTTTTACATTATTGCAAAGAAAATCAATTTTAAATAAATGCTGTTCTTTTGAACTTTCTATTCATCAACGAATCCAGATTTTTTTAAAATGGTTTTTAACACTGATAATAAGAAGAAAAGTTTCTTGAGCACAAGTAATGACTGCTGAAAATTCAGCTTCGCCATCACAAGAATAAGGGGCCCTTAGAAGTCGCCGAGCTCAAGTCAAAAGTCAGGCACTTTGCACTTTGTCTAATTGTAACTTCATCATTCTTATTTACAGGTTGTAAAACAGGACTCTAAATTTATTGTGATTACCATTGTCCTCAAACCATCACATGGGCCTTTCATGTCCCCGGAGCACCCTGTGTGTGTTTTGCATTGAGATCTGACTGCGTGACAGCGTCAATCGCCACAACTCTCTCGCACTCATTTGCCTCCTGTATTTGCCAAGTGAGGCTTCATTCACGCTCATTTCCTTTTCACACATTAGCAGCATAAATTGACCAAGTGACTTCATAATTGGCGCTGGTTCCTCTATTCCCGCCGCTGGGCACCGTATGTGCCTGATTGGGTTGCATGCGATGGCTGGCCCACCTTTGCCTTCGGCGTTAGCCTGACACGCACATTTAGATAAGGGGTGAAAAGGGACACACTGGGTACAAATTCTTTCTCACAGAAAGAAAACATATTACACACAAAAAAGGCCATGACTGGAGCTGCAATTGCTAAAATGTATAGCGAAATTAAAGATAGGTTTGTTAATTTACTTTGTTTATTTTGTTTGTTTAAATTTACTTTGTTTATTTTGTTTGTTTTAAATTAAAGCTGCAGTCCATAACTTTGTGTTTAAATTTTACAAAATATATATAATGAGCGAGTACATCATGAATCCATTTTTCAAACCGAGTTTTTGTCTTATTACATTTCCAGTATTCATCTGTTATGAGAAATGGTTAGAAAGGTATATAACATGCATAAATGGAAACGGGTCTAATTTAAAAGAGCCATATCTCCAGGACTATATGGAAGATTAGACATCTTCTTCCACAGGCTGACCTGATTTCAATTTTAGAATCACCTGTAAAGTACACAGATTAAATGAGACATAAATGTGTGCTCACACAATAAAAAGGTGCGATTTTGATTAATAATGTACATACCTCTTTCAGCTGAGCAATTTCCTTGCTGTCTATGTTCCTTTGAGCATTGTTGGTGATGGCTTTCACTCGAGTTGCATAGCTGGAAGACAAACCAATTTTAAAGTGTATATTACTGTATATTCCTTGGAAAACAGCCTTTATGCTGCAAAACTATATACAATTGTATGATTAGCTTACACAAGATTTCAAGTTAAGAGCAGAAAACTTGCTAGTGTGGTACAAAATCTATAAACTTATTCTTGGGAGTTTAGATGAAACTGATTACCTTTTTAAATGTATTTTTTAGTTATGCTAACTAGGGTTTACAGTGCAAAGTTTTATTTAAAGAATTTGAGACAATCATGGGCAAGAATATTTAAAAGAGTTTAGGACACTCACTTCACATTTATTTATAAAATGCTTTATAGAATACAGATTTGTTTCAAAGCAGCTTCACATTAATAAACAGGACAATAGTGTTATTAATGTAAAACTCATCAATTATGAAACCAATTCAATTTCAGCTTTATAGCAGCTCTACAGAGAATAATAGTCTCATTATTCAGGTCAATTTAGTTCTATGTTGTTTCAGTTCAGTTCAATTGCATTATTAATGTTGAAAAGTTCATTAATTATGAATCAGCTATAAGCAGCAGAAGACAAAGCTTTATTTTTGCTCAAGTCAGTTAAATTCTATTCAATAACAAAAACAATAAATGTTGCAAGGTTTGTGTCATCATCCAGTTCAGTACAGTTAAAAAAATGTTGTCAACTGATAGTGTCAGTGCAGTTGATGAATCTGTAATATTACAGAGATTTTCTTTTTAACCCCAACTGAGCAAGCCAAAGGTGACAGTGGCAAGGAGCAGCCTTGTGCTGCTATTAATTTAGGTGAGCATGTAAGATACATGCAAGGTATTTGGATCTCACATGAGCGAGGTGAGAGTCTCGTCCAGGTTGCAGTCAGAGGGAGCGATGTTGAGGAACATGAGGGTCTTGGCATTGCCCCCCAGTGAGTCCTGCATGAGCTGGGTCAGCTTGTTGTTACGGTAGGGCACGTGAGGCTGCTCCAATGATAAAGCTGAAATTACATCTCCAAGAGCACTCAGAGATTTGTTAATAGCGTTTGCCTCCTGGGAAGAAACACACAGACAATGTGGGATAAATGTTGTCGTGAGAGGTATTAGAAATAAAATACAAGACAAAAGTCAGGGGGGAATAGATACTAGGGGGGTATTTTGAGATTTTAAGTCACACTTAACAACATCTTTGCCATAACAAAATATTTCAAAAATATTAAACGGTAGTATTTGCAAGAAAAAACGCAGAAACAGTAAAAAATGAAAATAATAAAACAACAAATATTGTTATCAAAAAGACAAAGTATTTGGACACTCGGGTTGTCTAACTTTGTGTTTTTAAGTGCTGCAAGTGTATTCTCTTATTATTCACTTAATATACAGTAATATTATTGATTTCACTGACTTGAGCCAGATGATAACACCGCTGTTTTCAGCAGAGCTGCTTTATAGATGATTTAACTGTTTCATAATGGAAGAATTTTGCAACATCTGTACTGCTATTGAACTGAATTTTCAGCTGAATAATGACACTATTGTCTTTTTTTAGAGCTGCTTTACAGCAGAATTTAATTCTGTTTGCATCATTGATTCTGTTATTTTCCTGTTCATCACTGTAAAGCTGCTTTGAAACATTTGTATTGTATAACCGCTATATAAATACAGGTGACTTGACTTGAAATATATTCAGTGGAACAGCAAAAAACAAGGTTTTTGCCCTAATTGTTTTTGGTTTAGCCACTTATGTATTTTGCTTCTGAATTATATGTGATGTGACAAGTCATAATAATGACTGTCCAATATCTCGGGTGCATATAAAAGCCAACATGAAGTGTCCAAATACTTTCTGGGGCCACTGTAAATCAGCTTTTAAAAAAACCTTCAGCTGGTCGTCTTTGGCTCCAGTTTTTGCTGCTCGTTCACTTCCTGCCAGGTCCACCAGACTTAGCTTCCCAAAACTCACACTTCCATTGGTCAGATTCCGACTTTCAATCATGATGCCAATGATCAGGTGAGAGCGGGAACTCTCTACGTTCATCTCTACAAGAAGGTATAATAAGAATGAAAAATGTTTCAAAGTTAATTTGACAGCAAATATTACTTGTGTAACCATTAATGAATAGATGGATGCATGCATAGATGATGTACAGAGACTGTATTAAATCTGCATTTGTTCAAAAAAAAGACACACTTGTCTCTCTTATATAATGTTAATGCTCTTTATAACCCTAAATCACTCCTTTAGGCTTGTTCTCAGACACATCACACAGTTAAACTCAAGGACCTTCTCCTTTGTTATGAAGTTTGGCATCAGTGCCAGGTCATTATGTTCTTAACATGCATTCATACTGACTGTTACTAAAGCAATTAATCCAAACCATTTAACTCGAGTCTTTTGAAGTTTCATTAAGCACATACTTGTGGCCGCAATGTGGCGATTTGCACAGCCTTGTTCAAATAATGCAAAGAGTTCGCCGGCACTAGCAGCCTCCTTTGTCTCTGCTCCCTGGGCAAACACAAGCCCCTTTCTGTCCCTCTTAATTTCGATTCGCTTGCTGAAAGCATCAGAAGGGCTCACAAAGAGATCCTGCAGGCGGTCGTTGTACAGCTCCAGCATGTAGGCTGAAACCTGAGGACGGACAAAAGAAAAGAGTATGAAGACTGTTGTATATAAGTTCAGCTCAAGTAACACGTACTGTACCTAAACATACCTTAAACTCAAATTTAGACTCATTATCCTGGATGATCTCAAAGATCTTGGTGAATGTTCTGGGAATGATTCCTGGGTTCCTCCGATCTCTGTCTCCAACCATTGTGAAGGTTTTCCCTGAACCCGTATGGCCATACGCAAAAATGCATACGTTAAATCCATCAATTGCACACTGGATTAGCCTAGGGGAAAATGTGCATCTTCATCTTGAGGAAATCTGCCCAAATGTCACATTTATTATATCTTACAGGAATATTTCACAAAAAATGTCATCATTTACTAACTCTCATTTCATTCCAAACCATATGAGTTTCTTTCTTCTGTGGAACACTCATAGAGAAATTCTAAATGATGTAGTTGGTCGCTCTTTTCCAAACAATTCTAATGAATTATTAGCATCCTATTACTCAGAATATCGAAAACACATCACATGTACCAATATTGTTTGTCATTTTTGCAGCTTGACAGCCACATACCTCATTAACTTTGATTATATTGAATATAACACCCAGGATATTCCTCACAAATTCATCTTTTGAGTTCCACAGAAGAAAGAAAGGTTACGAGCCACGTGAGGTTGAGTAAATGAAGACAGGATTTTAATTTTTGGGTGAGCTAACCCTTCAATTTAGCAATTTTTTTTAACAAAATGTATGCAAAGTATGTCTCGGTACTATCACACTTACCCACTGGACTCCATGAAGACCTCCTCTTGCGTACACTCTGAGTTGAAGATCTTGTCAAACTGAAACTCGCGAGGTCCTCGAAGGGTGTCCAGGATCACAGAGTAGTCATCAAGACAAGCAACAATGGTGTGACCTCTTCTTGTCTGCTCTGCAAGAGTCAGTGGCCTTATTCGACAGAATACTCTGATCTTACCTGTACAAGACCAGACATA